TGGAGTATGTTATTTTTACAGTAAAATTTCTGTGACGTCAAAATACGTCATAAATCTGATCATCCGTACAAACATCCTAAAAATGACTTGTTGGACCACATAACTCGCGAACCGGAAACGGACTGGTGCGAGAAAAACACATCGTCAAGAATAGTGTGCTGCCTTCGGCAGCAAAAACTTAAAAGTGTATCTTAATTATTCGGCCTTTTGGACAGCAGACTATCCCAGTCGGTCATGGACAACTTAGAATGAATGCAAATATTACTGACATCTTGTATAATAATATATATGGAGGAGCGATCAACTTAATAAAAGTTCCCGAAGTGTATTTTGCCAAAATTCACCTAGGTTTTCACGTAGATTCCTATTGTAAATAATATTGCAGCGTTTCCCCGGAAGTAATTTTCGCACATAGCGATTGTGACCGTGTGACTGGTCACAAATTCCCTGTTCCTTTTGCACTCGCATATATCGAGCATCAGATGCTGTAAGTTGTAAACACAGCTATGCTTATTTAGACGTAACCAGGAGCTGTCCATGTGTCTCGTTAACCCACTAAGTTGCATTGCACTCTAATTTATAATTTTATTCTGTTTATAAATGCCAGACAATTTTACTCGTCAAGAGGAAAGCAGTGGATCTCAATGGGTTAAAGCTGTATCATGCAGAAGATGGTGGACAATTGACAGCTATCATTATATACAACATTGCCAAAGTTGAACATTTCCATCTGACAGATCTGTTGTTGCAAAAATATAGTTTTTTGTAACTATCGATTGACCATTGTCAATCGATATTAATTAAGTAATTAATATCGACTACCATAGATTGATTGATTGGATTCCGATGATTGGTTTTCATCAATTAAATACGCCGGGCTTTTAATATTTATATTAATACATACCTTTGCGTATTCTTGCTACCAGCTCCATTACAAAAATCTATCTAGTAGAAAAAAATCTTTTAAACGCCGTCATAATCTACACATTATGTCTTGACAATACTAGTTTTATTTTCTTTCTAAATTCGAACTTCTTCAAAATTTTCTGTTCCGCACTTCCGCCTTCTTGGAAAAATATACATTTGAGCCCACAGTATTTTAGGCCAGAGATATAGCAACGAAACTTCGTGTAGTACTACCTCAGCTGTATCTCTTGAAGTATGGACTATGATAATGAGGTATACAATGGAGTATTGGGGTACTTTATTACCGTGGCTTTCTGGTCAGCACTTATTTCCAACAACCTAACTGACGTGACGTGATTTTCGGAAGATGGAAGAGGTGTTAAATGCCAACTATAAACCTAAACCCTACTCTAACCCTAACCAAAATAATAAAATAAATCCAAAAAGAATCAACTTTAGAAATTGATCAAATGACGTCAGTTTGATGGTTGGAAACGAATGAAAACCATAAACTACACACGTAAAACCCACAAGTTGTAACAAACCTGCAGCAGACTTGTAGCAATGCTGTTCCAACAACTTGTCAACAGGATGTGTTCGCACTGCTTGTTCCCAGCTTGTTAATAAGTTGTCAACGGCTTGTTGACAATTCGCTACAAGGCTGTTGGGCTCAACAGACTTGTTACAAGTTGTTCCAACAAACTTGTTATCATCCTGTATACTTGTACACAAGTTGTGAGTGACAACCTTGTAGCAACTTGATGAAACAACAGCATTGTTACAACTTGTTGACAAGCTTGCTACAAGCCTGTTGCGAACACATCTTGTTGTGAGATTTTACTTTTCTAAGCTGAGTGCTGTAGTTTCATGAGCGGTACCTCAGCTACACATGTAAAAATCTCACAACTTGTCAACAAGATGTGTTCGCAACAGGCTTGTAGGAAGCTTGCCAACAAGTTGTAACAATGCTGTTATTTTATCAAGTTTCTACAAGGTTGTCCTCACAACTTGTTGACAAATCGTTGACTTGCAGGACGATAACAAGTTGTTGGAACAACTTGTAGCAAGTTGTCAACAAGCCGTTGACAACTTGTTAACAAGCTGGGAACAAGCAGTGCGAACACATCCTGTTGACAAGTTGTTGGAACAGCATTGCTACAAGTCTGCTGCAGGTTTGTTACAACTTGTAACAACTTGTGCGTTTTTACGTTTTTAGAGATTCAATTCAAGAAAGTTCGGAACGTGCGAAATATACATTCCAATGGTTTCCAATGGTCGGGTCCCGACCAGTCCGACCATTGGAATACAGGCCTGCGCAGAACGGACTTTACAGCATCTTTAATAAAAATGTACAATGCCTTGGTGTGGCCACACTTCAATTATTGTTCAACAATCTGGAACGCTCGGTTTTGATTGATAATTGATAAACTAATAAAATTACAAAAGAGAGCTGTGCGTGTGATAACCATGCAAGGACACGTACGATGTTAGTTTCACACAAATACTAAATACACATATTTCACACGTGAAAACGCACAAGTTGTAACAAGTCTGCAAACAAGTTGTTACAAGTCTGTTCACAAGTTGTCAACAAGTTGTGTTCGCACTGCTTGTTCCCAGTTTGTTGTAACAAGTTTGGAACAAGCTGTTAACAACTTGTAACAAGCTTGATGGCATTATCAGCCTTGTTACAAGATTGTGCCAACAAGTTTGTTACAACCATGATATATCAAGGATGTCACAAGGCTGTCAACACAAGGTTGTAACAATCTTGTTATGTCAAGCATGTAACGGACTTGTCAGAACAACCTTGCAACAAGTCTGATAATTTCGACACGGTTGTTACAAGTTGTCAACAAGTTGAAATCAGGCTTGCTGCAAGTTGACATTTGCAGACTTGCATCAAGTCTGCAGTTCACAACTTGCATCAAGTCTGCAGTTCACAACTTGCATCAAGTCTGCAGTTCACAACTTGCATCAAGTCTGCAGTTCACAACTTGCATCAAGTCTGCAGTTCACGACTTGCATCAAGTCTGCAGTTCACAACTTGCATCAAGTCTGCAGTTCACAACTTGCATCAAGTATGCAGTTCACAACTTGCATCAAGTCTGCAGTTCATAACTTGCATCAAGCCTGCAGTTCACAACTTGCATCAAGTCTGCAGTTCACAACTTGCATCAAGTCTGCAGTTCATAACTTGCATCAAGTCTGCAGTTCACAACTTGCATCACGTTTGTGGACAACTTGCAACAGACTTGTTATTATCAAGCCGGAGCAAGCGATGGGAACGCATCCTGATATCGGCTTGATGATCGTAAGTTGCATCGAGTCTCCAGCAGACCTGCTGCAACTTTGCGCGTTTCTGGCTGTGTACTCTGGCACAGACCGTGTTTATATGTTATTAATCTTATTGTTTCCGATTGAGCAAAACCACACACAATACAGTAGAGATTTTTCGTAATATATTTAATGCATTCTGAAATGATTGGGTTTTGATTAGATTACAGTCAAAATGATTAGACAGAGATTGAATATCTTGATTACAACTAAACAATTTACAATATCTACATACCTTGATAAACTCTAGATATACTTCAGCTGTCTATACGCTCTCGCACACTGTCTCAATATCTCAATACGATACTTGCCTTCGATACTCTCTGGATACTATTACGTCATGCACATTTGTCAACACTTAATCACTAATTCAGTCAGTTACCATCCAAATCAAATAGGTTAAATCAAATAGAATCATGTTAAATGAAACTAAATTTAATTATTAATCATCTTCAAATAGTTTGTAAACTGTCCGATCCACTTATATTAATTTGCGTTCCTTCAGTTATAACTCTTCGGTTGCTGCGTAAATTTCCTGATCAGCGATTTCAAAATGGTTCTTCACAGAGAGGCGAGGTGCAGCATCTTTCGCTGTTCCATCGTAGACCCAAGATTCATTCCATGAGTGAACTCGTCCTGAAGCTACGTATTTAATTGTGCGACCATTATGTATGTTCTAAATACATTAATAAATTAAATAAGAGGATCTACCTTAGGTCAATAAGAAACAAAGTAGAGGAAATAGGATACGGGAGACAAGAAAAGTAGGATAGGAAATGGGATGAGAAGAGCCTGCCACGCAGGCTAGGCTGCCTATGATACGATACTTGCCTTCGATACTGTCTGGATACTATTACGTCATGCACATTTGTCAACACTTAATCACTAATTCAGTCAGTTACCATGCAAATCAAATAGGTTAAATCAAATAGAATCTTGTTAAATCAAACTAAAGTTAATTATTAATCATCTTCAAATAGTTTGTAAACTGTCCGAGGTTCAACCTGAGCTTCTCTTGAGTGTCAATGCCGCTTTTGAACGGCTGGAGGGTGAGCGACTACATAGCACAACACTAACACTCCAGCTATTCAAAAAACAGCAATGACAGTCAAAGCAAGCTCAGAAACCTTAAAACTCATTACTTGACACATGAAAATTATTTCTAATATACTTAATATAATGTCAAGAAACAATAAAAAAGTAGCCTAACATTCGTAATAATCTGGAATAATAGTCAATAAATGGAAGTTATATTTACATTATGAATCAACAGTTTTAAGTATGAAATTTAATTATGATATTACAGCAAAATGTTTCTACAGTATAAATGTCAAAGCGGTATGGACTATAGAGTCTTTTGGACACTAAAAAACGACATATATGAAAATTCGAGTTTATATGTTAGTAATCTTATATTATATAATTTGCGTTCTTCAGTTATAACGCTTCGGTTACTGCGTAAATTGCCTGATCAGCGGTTTCAAAATGGTTCTTCACAGAGAGGCGAGGTGCAGCATCTTTCGCTGTTCCATCCTAGACCCAAGATTCATTCCACGAGTGAACTCGTCCTGAAGCTACGTATTTAATTGTGCGACCATTATGTATGTCCTAAATACATTAAATAAGAGGATCTACCTTAGGTCAATAAGAAATAAAGTAGGGGAAAATGGGAAAAGGGAGACAAGAAAAGTTGGATAGGAAATAAGAATGGATGGGTAGAATGGAAAAATGAAGAAAGATAGTGGTAAGAACGATGAAAAGGGCAAATGATAGTCATTTGAATATAAAGGTGAACGTGTTTATTTTAGGGGATGTAGTAGAATATGAGATACGGGAGGAAGAAATGAAGATGGTAGAATGTAATTGTGTTGGCATATACCGTGCCTTCTGTTGTACCAGCAATACTTTTAAGAAACTGGTGGATGAAAACGGGTGGAGTCAGTATAACCCTGGTATAAGAGAATAGCTACCTTATGCGTTGTAGTGACGCCAGTCTTTTAACACAACAGGATATTTAAACATATTATATACAACAGATGCCGCCATTGCGCTGGCAAATGGCTGCCAAAGTTTTGTTTTCTCTTTACTTCCGTCAGCAAAATCCGACACTGCTTTAATTACAGCCCATTCTATGCCAAGATCATACACAGCAGCATATAAACCTAAAATTTAAGCACAAAAATGTAGACGTGTGTTCATGTCATAGGCATAACGCTAACCCATTTTGCAGTAATAGCGCATCAAGCCCAATCATGTTTTGGGTTAAAAATCTCAGTTAATTTCTGTTCAGTATTAAAGACACTAGAAATCCCCCATTAAAGGGAAATGACAATATATTTTTTCTTTTCTCATTTGAAAAAACTTTTAGGACTATATGTAATACTCTTTTACCGTTTTTTTCCATATCTTGCTTACTTCTACAAATATTTTGATCGAAAGGAATGAAATGTCCGCCATCTTCAATTTTTGTAGATATGCATGTCACGCCACAACAGGGGTCACGCGATATTTTTATCTAGACAACCACTAATCATTTTGCACTCAAAACTATACTCTGTCTGCCCTTCGAAATATCAAGATCACTCAAAACCTTTAAAACATCTACCAATCAATATTTGGTTAGCAACGAATACTTTTATGTGGTTGATCCCTGTTGTGACAGGAAGAGATTATTTCGCTGACAAAACGTAACAAAGCAACGGTTTTACTAACACTAACCCTATTCCAAACACCAACTCTAACCCTAACCCTTGAGTACAAACTTGGAGTAGGGTTAGGTCAAGGTCCTTGACCTAACCCTAACCTAACCCTACTCCAAGTTTGTTTCTAAACCAATCTTGAAGAAAAAATTTTGACGAAATGTCATTCTGAGGTCAGCGAAATAACTTCTTCCGTTGTGACGTCACCAAAACTACCGTTAATGAGGTCAAAAATTTATCCAAGATGGCGAACATCTCATTACTTCAAGTGAAATTATTTCAAGAACTAAGCAAGATATGAACAATCGGTAAAAGAAGTTAATATGTGGTTACAAAAGTACTTTCAAATGAGAAAATAAAAATTTTATATTGTCATTTTCCTTTAAGTTCCCTCCCCCTCTGGAATTTGTTTTAACAGGTTGACAGATTGATACACCGTTCGAAGCCTAATTGGTGTGGAAGGCTTGAATGATGCGGGAAGTTCCTACCTGCACCCTCCATTTCAAGACCAAGTGCGTCCGGGAACGAATTCAGTAACTCTTGTCGTCTTTCACGATTATTAACTAAATCCGAGCCACTTAACATCACAGCGTCATGGTGAACTTCAACGTCTAAACTTTTCGGGTCTTTTAACGGTGGTTTCCAACCATCAGCTGCATTGAGAATAAGATGAGCCATATTTTTACTAACGTTCGGTTTAGTCCCGCGATACACAACTGTACCATCTGCCTTGAATTTCTTATCATCATAAGTCGCCAGTTTGGCAGAAATCACGACATCGCCAAGTTTTGCCTTCGCCCGTTCCATGCTTGCACAGATCCCGACAAAGAGGACTACTTTTGGGTTTAAAATTTCAGCGGCATTTCTCACTGCTATCACAGCCTCAGTCGGTCCCTGCCGACATTTCATCAATGCAACATTCGGGTTATTCTGATCACCAAATCGACCAAAATCTACCATTCCCAGTTTCGTAGAATAACCTCGTTGAACATGTTTCATATATGAATAGCAAGCATTGAATTCATGATCATTTGCTGTTATTAGCAGAATATCTGTTGGTACTTGTGACTGAATCTCATTGCTTGAACAGTCATATGGTTCACTATCAAAATCCCTCGCTGTCGGGAGTGTGATATTGAGTTCTGGTGGTGGTGCTATACGATCATTGCCTTCACAAAACATGATGATACAAATTACAAAGACAACTCGTTGTACAAAGTTTTAATACAATTAACAACGATGATTCATCGTTGTATTCTCGGATTGCATGTGACGTCACGTGGGGGTGTCAAGAAATTTATTTGAAGATACACACGTAAAAATCTCACATCTTGTAACAAGTCTACCAACGGCTCGTCAACAAGTTTGGAACAACTTGTTGACAACTTGTAACAACCGTGTCGAAATTATCACACTTGTTGCAAGGTTGTTCTGACAAGTCCGTTACATGCTTGATCTAACAAGATTGTTACAACCTTGTGTTGACAACCTTGTAACATCCTTGTTGTATCA